CCGAGTGGTTCACCAACTGGCGGTCCCACGGGTGGCCCCACTGGTAGCCCCACAACTTCACCGAGTACAGCTCCCACGTGACAGTGAGTTCCCAACACAGCAGCCAAGTGTTACCCCAAGTGAGTCACCAACCGAGACACCCACTGAGAGCCCATCTACTTCTCCTACTGGTGGCCCGACAAAGTCTCCCAGCGCAACACCGTCCGGAACCCCAAGCGTTTCTCCAAGTGGAACCCCAACTGCAAGTCCCAGTGAGAGTCCTAGCTCCACTCCAACTTTGGACTTCCGACAGTTTACTCCTGCTCCGACTGCAAAGCCCTTCAGCTGCCTGGATGTTCCTGACGCGTTGAAAACAGAAAAGGCAGGCGAAATCTGCTATGATATGATTGCCATGACAGGAGAATCTGGTGTGGGCTCCAACCTGGGCAAAGCATGTCTTGAAATGGACAAAGATGGATCCCTTATTACCAGCTTTGTCGCTGCTGATGGCTTCGTTGTGTTGGAGGCAAACCTGTGGGCTGGTTTTGACATCGAAGAACTTTTGGATGTGCAAGGAAATGTTGACAAGTCCAAGTTTTCAGTCAGTAGTTCTGAGCTGGCAGCAGAAGATGCGCCAACACTTGCCATGAAGCTTTCTTCAGGCCACTTGTGTGATGCAATGGATTCATATCACATGGCCTTTGTTGGGGAGCTTGTGGTAGCTGAACTTGAAGAAGATACTGGCGACACGGTTACAGGAACCGAGCAAACAGTGCACATTCAGGATGGTGTGGAGGATGACTACCTGTCTTTGTCTTTGAGCGTTGACTGTATGTGCCAAGTCGAGACACCTGAAACTTGTCTGAAGGTCCCCGATGGCAAGCAAGCAAATGAAGAAGGAAAGGTTTGCTATGATGTCATGACAGACACTTCAGCTCCTGATGGTGGATCTGTCACTGGAAAGGCTTGTCTTGAGGTGAATGATGATGGTGACCTTGGTGTTACCTTCACAACATCAGATGGAGTCGAGCTGTTGGAAACACATTTGTGGGTCGGCGAGGATGTTGAGGATCTACTAGACGAAAGTGGTGACGTGGACAAGACCAAGTTCACAACATCAACTTCTGATCTTGGTGGCATTGATCACATCACGTTGACTACCGTCCTTTCCTCGGGAATCCAATGTGTTGAGGCTGATTCATACACGATGGCATTGGTTGGCCAGGTGGTTGTTGAGTCTGATGATGGAACTCAAGAGGTTGCCTATATCATTGAGAGCCCCGATTCAGACCACTTGTCTATGTCATTCACCGTTGAGTGCATGTGCCAGCCAGAAACTCCAGACACCTGTCTGAAGGTTAGCGGTGGAAAACAACCTGATGAAGATGGAGAGATTTGCTATGATGTCTTGAGTGACACTTCTGCCCCAGGTGGTGGATCACTTGTAGGAACAGCTTGTGTCAAAGTCAGTGATGAGGGTGATATTGATGTTACTTTCAAGGCCACTGGGCTCCTGGAAACATCTTTGTGGGTTGGTGAAGACTTGACTGATCTCATCGACGATGATGGAGAGGTTGATACTTCCAAGTTCACAACGACGAGTACTGAATTAGGAGGCACTGATGAGTTCTCTTTATCCAGTGTGCTTTCTCCTGAATCTCAATGTGAAGGAGCTGATGAATACACAATGACGCTTGTTGGACAAGTTGTGGTCTCTGGTGATGATGGAACACAAACCGTTGCTTACATCCATGACAGCACAAGCCAGGGCCTGGATCAGATCTCAATGACCTTGACTGTGGACTGTATGTGTAAGCACACTGGAGAGTACAGATGTGAAGACACATGGGCTTACCACAAGACCTCGCATTTGTGTGCTGCTGATGAACTTGGCTACAGCTATGGTGGCTGGTCAAATGGAAAGTATGGCATGTCCGGCTGTGAACCTTGTGACTGTCCGGTTTGCGATTCGTTGCCATCTGCACCTTCGAAGTCGCCAACTGCGCCAACTGACAGACAGGCACCAACACCCGCCTACATCCCTGACAAGCCCTCCCCTGTTTCATTCCCTCCAGTCAACCTTCCCCAGAAATGTGTTGGCTATGTGGGCAAGTGGTCTGGTGATCCTCACATGAAGACATTTGATGGCCTGAAATATGACTGTCAAGGAGCTGGTGAATTCCACGTCCTGAAGTCCTTGAATTCCACCTTTGAGTTGCAAGCCCGATTTGAAAAGTTCAACAGAGAATGGAAGAAGAATCGACCACAACCAACTGTCACAACCAGTGTTGCATTTGACACTGGCGATGGCGAACCTCTAATTCAAGTATCAGTACCCGAGACCAGCGAGAATGGCTGCACACCATTTGTTTACGTGAATGGAATTCTGAAAGATGCTTCGGAGCTGGCTGCATTAGAGGATGATTTCGTGCAGGTGAAGGAGGTGCACAAGAAGAACACAGATGGTTTCATCTTTTACTACCTTAACTCAAAGGTGCAGCTCACAACTATGGCCAAGAAGTCATCCAAGAATGGATGTGTGCTGTCATCCAAGATCTGTCTTCCCTATGACTATGAACGCACCACCAAGGAGACGTTCGTTGGTTTGCTTGGTACCCCCAACAAAGACAAGTCCGATGACTGGATGACCAATGTTGGCACACCAGTGTCTATCCCTACCAAAAAGAAGGATTTGAGGTTTGGACCTGCATACGAATACTGTACAAAGAATTGGTGCATTCGAAATGAAACCGTTGCCATGTTTGAGTATCCTTCTGGCAAGAAATTCTCGGATTACTCCTATTGTGACCAAGATCCTGACACAGAAACTGAGTCTTGTGTGACAGACCCCCCTGCCATGTTGCGTCGTATTTGTGGATCTGAAAATGATGCCTGTTTAGTGGATGGATGCGTCGGAACTGCGGAAGACGCCAAGAGGTACATTGAAACACAGTGGGACCTTGTGGATAAAACTTGTGGGGAGGAGGTTGAGTCTGAAGATTTTGAGGGCGATGATGCCAATAGTTGGGGCGAGATCCGGGGCACAGGCGACCAGAACAAGCTTTTGTATCTACACCAAGGCAACTCGTCTATGTTGAGGACTTTCAATGTGTCGAAAGACTCTGAATTTGTCAGTATTGACTTTTACTTCTATGAATTCGGCGACTGGGACAAGTCTGGTGACAAGAAGGACTATGTTTATTTGAACATTTGTGGCACGAAGATTGACATCCAGAGCTTCAACCACAATAATGACGCCTTTGATGACTTTGTACACGACACTGTTGATGGAATCTCCTACGTGAGAGAGGCAATTTCCAAATCTGGCAATCTCGGATTTAGCAGCACAGATCAAATGCACAAGATTTCGATCCATGTCCCCAGTGACCTCTACCAAGATGGCAAGCTAACGTTTGGCCTAGAGGTTGACATGACGGGCAGTAAGCGACACGAAAGTGCTGGCATTGACGACCTTGTCATCATGGAATATTTGGACAACTGTGATCACGTAGACAAGGCCGACAAGAGCTGCGTGGAACAAGTGGTGAAGGAAGAATTTGGTGAGGGCATTGATGGCTGGGTACCAGCCCTGCAGGATATGCTGCCTGAGAGCCAAAAGCCATTCCTTGGTCGCCTCTACCGGGACAGTGGACCGGTTGAGAAGCAATTTGATGTTCCGGCGTATGCAGATTCTGTGACAATGGACTTCCTTCTCTACGAGATAGATGACTGGTCTGTCAAGTGTGACAGCGAGGATACTGATTCTGAGGACGATGAAGACGACAAGGATGACCAAACGAGGAGACGACTTGAACAAGGCAAGAGCAAGAAGACCAAGACCAAGAATGGAAAGGTCGTTGTTTGCCACAGGACTTCAAGCAGAAAGAACCCATATGTTAACATCACAGTGTCCGAATCCGCTGTTAGCTCTTACTTGAGGAAAAATGGTGATGTCTTGCCGGGTTATATTCTTCCAGGACATGGAGGTCGCATGTACCTCGATAATCACTGCAAGATTGTTGTGGGCCCACCCAAGGAGGTGAGCGTCAGAGGTGACAAGAGCCCCCAAGTTCAAGGTGGTTGCTACAAGAACAAGTTTGTGATCACAATCGGAGGTGAAAAGTTCGATCTGGGTAACCTTGAAGGTGACAATACAAGGAGTGGTGTCGCTGGAGAAATCAGATGGGAGAGACAAGCAAGATCGGTTGAAAATCACTTTGGTTTCAACGACAAGTACAAGGACCAGATGCACAAGGTCATCATTACTGTTCCTTCTAAGTACTTTGAAACAGATCACAAACTGACTGTTGCTTTTGATGTGGACACTACGAAAGACCTGGATGAAATCAGCGCTGGAATTGATGAATTCCGCATGACTGCCCATGGAAGCAATTGCGCAGATGGAAGGAAATCTGATGCAGCAAGGGCACTCCATGCACGTGAGATCAGTGACAGGTGGGACCGAGCCCTGGATGAATCTACTGAATGCAACTGCCTCTGCCCTGATGACTCCTCAGTTGTGGGAGGTGGATCGCTTGCTGCTCCATTGGAGTTGGACTTGTTTGTTTCGCCTGATCAAGGGTGCGAGCCACAAGGGCCCAGGGTTGGCCGAATTGCTCTGGAACCATTAGACGGCGACACTATCATGGTGTCTTATGAGGTTGAAGATGAGTTTGTAATGATGTACTCGCACCTGTACGTTGGAGCAGGCCCCCTGCCAATGGACAGCCTCGGTAACTTGATGGCACCAGAAGACTTCCCCTTTGGGCATGGCAGCAGCGCCGCTGCATCAAAGAGCTACGTTATTGACGTGCCATCATGTGACTTCTATGTTGCTGCCCATGCCAAGGTTTGTGGAAAGTTCCCCACGTTGGCACCCACTGCTTCGCCATCTTCGCTCCCAAGTTCGGTTCCCTCTGCGACACCAACAGCCAGTCCCAGTCAGTTCCCAACACAGACTCCATCTGCCACCCCCAGTGATTTCCCAACACAAGTACCTTCGACTACACCCACCAGCAGTCCTACCGGAGGACCTACAGGTGGACCCACTGCTGGACCCACTGCTGGGCCAACAGCGGGACCCACTGCTGGACCAACGAGTTCGCCAACAGCCTCTCCATCTGCGAGCCCCAGTAATTTCCCAACACAGGCTCCATCGAAGACACCCTCCAGCGGTCCCACTGGAGGACCTACGGGTGCACCAACTGCTGGGCCGACTGCTGGGCCAACTGCTGGACCCACTGCCGAACCAACAAGTTCGCCATCTGCCTCTCCCTCTGCCAGCCCCAGTGATTTCCCAACACAAACTCCATCCAAGACACCCACCAGCAGTCCTACCGGAGGACCTACGGGTGGACCTACTAGTTCTCCGACAGCCGCACCAACAGCAGGACCAACTGCCGCACCAACAGCAGGACCCACTAGCTCACCAACAGCCGGACCCACTGCCGGACCAACTGCCGCACCAACAGCAGGACCAACAGCTGGACCCACAGCTACGCCAACAGCTGGCCCCACTGGTGGACCAACGAGTTCGCCAACAGTCTCTCCATCTGCCAGCCCCAGTGATTTCCCAACGCAGGTGCCTTCGACTACACCCACCACCAGTCCTACGGACGGACCCACCGGTGGACCTACTAGTTCTCCGACCGCTGGACCAACAGCGGGACCCACTAGCTCACCAACAGCTGGACCTACTGGTTTTCCGACTGTGTCACCTTCTGCCAACCCCAGTGGGTCCCCAACATCTGGACCCACTGCCGGACCAACAGCTGGGCCCACTGCCGGACCAACAGCAGGACCCACTGGAGGGCCGACTGCGTATCCAACTCAGGAGCCTAGCAGTACTCCCACCGCATCACCAACAGGCGGCCCAACTGCTTCACCCACTGCCGGACCAACAGGTGGCCCCACTGCTTCACCTACGGCCGCACCAACAGGTGGCCCTACCGCTTTACCCACTGCGGGGCCAACGGCTGGACCCACTGCTGGACCAACTGGTTCCCCAACAGAGACTCCAACGAAAGCACCCACCGCGGCACCCACAGCTGGACCCACCATGGAGCCTTCTGTTGCGCCATCCTCCAGCCCTACTGACTTCCCAACCCAGGTGCCTTCAACCACTCCCACAACCAGCCCAAGCGGTGAACCCACTGGAATGGTTCCATCCATAAGCCCAACAGGTTATCCCACCCAAGAGCCCAGTATCAGCCCATCAGGCGAGCCAACACCCGAACCCACTGACGCGCCAACAGGTGGCCCAACGCCTGGACCTACGGGTGCACCAACAGCTGGACCTACTGGTTCACCCACTTCCGGACCAACAGCTGGACCTACTGGTTCACCCACAGGTGGACCTACTAGTTCACCGACGGCTGGACCAACAGCAGGACCCACTGGCGCACCAACAGCAGGACCCACTGGCGCACCAACAGCTGGACCTACAGGAGGACCAACTGCGTATCCAACTCAGGAGCCTAGCAGTACTCCCACTGTTTCACCAACAGATGGCCCTACTGCTTCACCCACTGCCGGACCAACAGGTGGCCCTACTGCTGCGCCTACTGCCGCACCTACTGCGGCACCAACAGCTGGGCCAACAGGCGGCCCTACTGCCTCACCCACTGCTGGGCCAACAGGCGGCCCTACTGCCTCACCCACTGCTGGACCAACAGGCGGCCCTACTGCTTCACCTACCAATGCACCAACAGGAGGACCTACTGCGGCACCCACTGCTGGACCAACAGCTGGACCTACTGAAGGACCAACTGCGTATCCAACTCAACCACCCAGCGCGAGCCCAACTGCAAATCCGACTTTCTCACCCACAAATAGTCCAACAGGGGCCCCAACATGTGGCAGTGACCCCGAAATGGTCCCTGACATCTTCCACGAGTCCTACACTGCTCCAGATGAAAAGACTTACACGGTTCACAGGTACAGTGGCAATCCCAACTGTCAGGACTTGGGATTCTCTTATGGATGGAAGATGGATACCCGCTGTTATAATGTTGAAGACCACCCGTTTGGCGCCCAAGATGGAAGCATCAAATATGCCAAGACGAAGGGTCACTGCTCTGCTGGCACGTCTCCTGCTGGTACCTTTACCACTGAATGTCTGGGTGGTGGTACTGATGCTAGGATTACCACCTCAACTGATGTCTATGTCATCATGAAGGGCGGCAATGGCGGAACTGTCTACCACTTGGAAGCTGGTGTTGAGGCCGTTCTTGATGTTGGTGCTCAAAAGGGAATCAGTCACATTGAATTCTGCTTTGTTTGTAGTGATTGCACCAAGGCCCCAACCACATCCCCAACTGCCTATCCAACTCATTCACCCAGTGCGAGCCCAACTGCAAATCCGACTTTTTCACCAACAGGTGGACCAACAGGTGGACCAACAGGTGGACCAACAGGTGGACCAACAGGTGGACCAACAGGTGGACCAACAGGTGGACCAACAGATTCACCAACAGGTGCACCGACAGCCTCACCCACTGCTGGACCAACAGGTGGCCCTACTGCTTCACCGACCGCCGCACCAACAGGGGCCCCAACATGTGGCAGTGACCCCGAAATGGTCCCTGACATCTTCCACGAATCCTACACTGCTCCAGATGAAAAGACTTACACGGTTCACAGGTACAGTGGCAATCCCAACTGTCAGGACTTGGGATTCTCTTATGGATGGAAGATGGATACCCGCTGTTATAATGTTGAAGACCACCCGTTTGGCGTCCAAGATGGAAGCATCAAATATGCCAAGACGAAGGGTCATTGCTCTGCTGGCACGTCTCCTTCTGGTACCTTTACCACTGAATGTTTGGGTGGTGGTACTGATGCTAGGATTACCACCTCAACTGATGTCTATGTCATCATGAAGGGCGGCAACGGCGGAACTGTCTACCAATTGGAAGCTGGAGTTGAGGCTGTTCTTGATGTTGGTGCTCAAAAGGGAATCAGTCACATTGAGTTCTGTTTCGTTTGTAGTGATTGTACCAAGGCCCCAACCACATCAACCCCAACTTCCTATCCAACTCCTGCCCCCAGTGATAGCCCGACTGCCTATCCAACTGTTGCACCCAGTGGTAGCCCCACTGCTCACCCTACCTTCTCACCAACAGATAGCCCAACTGAGGCCCCTACCAAGGCCCCCACAACATCAGTCGATGAGAAGAGTGCTCCTACTCCTGGTTACACCAAGTGCGGCACCGCCCCTGACATCTTCCACGAGTCCTACACTGCTCCAGATGTTAAGACTTACACGGTTCACAGGTACAGTGGCAATCCCAACTGTCAGGACTTGGGATTCTCTTATGGATGGAAGATGGATACCCGCTGTTATAATGTTCAAGACCACCCATTTGGTGCCCAAGATGGAAGCATCAAGTACGGCAAGACCCAGGGTACCTGTGCTTCTGGAACATCTCCTTCTGGCACCTTTACCACTGAATGTTTGGGTGGTGGTACTGATGCCAGGATTACCACCTCAACTGATGCCTATGTCATCATGAAGGGTGGCAACGGAGGAACTGTCTACCAGTTGGAAGCTGGTGTTGAGGCCGTTCTTGATGTTGGTGCTCAAAAGGGAATCAGTCACATTGAGTTCTGTTTTGTATGCAACGAGTGCTCCAAGGCACCGACCACATCATCCCCCACTGCCTTCCCGACCATTGAACCCAGCGCTAGTCCCAGTGCATACCCTACCTTTTCACCAACAGCAGGTCCTACATCCAGTCCATCATTGCCACTGGGTAGCAGTTGTGATGACTGTCCAGGAGGTTGCCACCCACAAGATGAAGCAACTATGGAAATGACAACAGAGGAAAGCTGTGTTTCAGCATTTGCTTACAGTGATTCTCCTCTTGGACGATGCTTCAATGTTGATGGGTTCACCCGCTCAGGATGGAGAATTGGGCCACTCAGAAAGGATGCAACCAACCCATACACGTTTAACGTTTATGCTGGATTTGACAACTGTGAAGATAGACCGGAGGAGAAGAAGGTGGGCTATGTCTCCGTGAAATACACAGGAACATCTGCCAATGTAACCTACGTCTGGGACAATGGGTACAAGATGACAGAAACTCATCTGTACATTGGTACCAAGGAATACCCATTGTACAGGGATGCCAAGACTGTTTCACCAGGGAAGTACACTGCAATCCATGACGACCCCAAGGATGACCGCATGGACAGTTACATTTTCGCCCATCTGCCGTTTGATGCTGATGAAGATGTCTACATCATTGCTCATGCCATGTCATGCAAGGCTCCTCGAACACACTTGTCTGTGAGTGGATGCAAATGCATCTGTCCAACTGAAAGTCCCACAGCTGGACCCACTGGCTCTCCAACAATTTCTCCATCTGGCTCTCCATCAGAGAGCTTGGACTTCTCGAATCCAACTCCTACTACCGCACCTGTTACTCCTGTCTCTCTCCCCCAGAAGTGCCTCGGTTATGTCGGTTCGTGGTCTGGAGATCCGCACATGAGAACATTCGACGGTTTGCGATATGATTGCCAAGGTGAGGGTGAATTCCATGTCCTCAAGTCACTGAACTCTACCTTCGAGCTCCAAGCCCGCTTTGTGAAGTTTAGGAGCAACAAGCGACCAACGGTTACAAAGAGTGTTGTGTTCACTACTGGTGATGGCGAGCCAAAGGTCCAAGTCACAGTGCCGGACTCTGGCAGTAATGGCTGCACTCCTTATGTGTATATTGATGGAGTTGAATTTGATGTCGAGGAAGACCTTCTTGATCCATCCATGCAAATCGAGATGGTTCAGACAAGGAGGTACCAAGGGTACGTTATTTATTACCATGGTTCCAAGATACAGCTGACTGCCATGGCGAGAAAGTCATCGGCGAATGGCTGTGTCTTGTCTTCCAAGATCTGTCTGCCATATGACTATGAGCGAACACAAGAAACCTTTGTTGGTCTCCTGGGAACTCCAAATGAAGACAAGAGTGATGATTGGATGACCAAGTCCGGTGGAAACTTGCCAATTCCCACAACCCGGCATGGATTGCGGTTCAAGCCTGCCTATGACTTCTGTGTGCAGAACTGGTGCATCCGAAACGAGGCCAAGTCCTTGTTCAAGTATGACACTAGCAAGGGAGAAAACTTTGACAAGTTCATGCAGTGTGGCAAGGAAGCAGACACATCGACAGAGGTGTGTGTGAACAACCCGCCTGCAATCCTCGAGAGGTACTGTGGTAGCAACAACCCTGGTTGTGTCATTGATGGTTGTGTCGGTGGCCCAGATGAGGCAAGACGGTACATTGAAACTGAAGAAGACCTCCTCGACCAAATGTGCGGAAAACAGGTTTTCTTTGAAGACTTCGCAGAGGAAATGGACGGAAGCTGGGGTGATATCTACAAGCGGGATGCATTTACCTTCTTGCACCTTCACAAGGCGAGCAGTATCATGAAGGACAAGTTCAGGGTGCCCGCCAAAGCAGAGATTGTAACTATTGAGTTCCTATTCTACGAGATTGGAGGATGGGAACGTTCAGGCCAATACAGCGACCATGTCTATCTTTATGTGGGCGACAGCAAGATTGATCTCCAGACTTTTGGTCCTGATGACAAGCTTGATGCCTTCTGGCATGATATCCAGGATGGCATTTCTTGGACTCGTCGCAGCATCTGTTCATCTGGAGACTTTGGATTGGGCACCACCAATGATCAAATGCACAAAATGAAAGTGAGAGTGCCCGAGACATTCTATCAAGATGGCTGGCTGGAAGTCAAGCTGGAAGTGGTCATGTCGGGCAACAAGGACAATGAGAGTGCTGGAGTGGATGACTTTAGGCTGACAGCTTATTCCAAATCCTGTGTCATCCCTGACGAACCTGCCGAAAAGGATTACGAAGTACCTGCTGTCTTGCCTGCTGTGTGCGATGAGCGTGTTGCCACAGCCTGGGGTGACCCTCACATGGTTACTTTTGATGGTCTCAGATATGATTGCCAAGGAACCGGTGAATTCACACTTCTCAAGTCAATGACATCCAGCTTCGAGGTGCAAGGCCGATTCGCTGGTTTTGATGATCGCACCATCACTGTTACACGAGGAATTGCCGTTCGGGAGGAGGGAGCTCCTACCATTCAACTCACTGTTCCCAATGCCTATAACAAGCAATGCCCAATTGCTTTGTTTGTGGATGGTGACAGGCGCGAAGTCTTTGAAGGATCAAAGGTTGACGAGGTGATTGTGAGACCTGTTGGAAAAATGGTGGTCATCTACTATCCCAAGACACGTGTCCAACTTGTGGTGAGACTGAGTTCCTCAACCAAGTATGGATGCTACTTCTCTACCAAGGTATGTTTGCCGGATGACTACCGTAGAGACGAAAAGCTGATTGGTCTTCTCGGATCTCCCGATGGCGATTACTACAATGACTGGATGAACACCGAAGGAACCGGGCTTCGTGTCCCAGGATATGGCTTATCCGAAAAGTCATACCACTACTGTACAACATACTGGTGCGTCAAGGAAAAGAGCAGTTCTCTGTTCTGGTACGAGCCTGGAGAGGATTTTAAAATGTTCAACAAGTGTGGCGACAACTACGATGGCAGAATTGAGAGTTGTGTCAAGACCCCGCCAGAGTGGCTCAAGAAAATATGTTACCTAACTGACAAGAGATGCTTGTTTGAGGGGTGCGCTGGCGGACCAGAAGAAGCGAAGAATGCCTTGGATGCCGAATACGATCTCACCAATGAAAAGGGTTGCGGAGAGACAGTTCTTGCAGAAGATTTCAACGAGAATGATGTTCGCAAATGGAAGTTGATCGAGACAGAACCCGTATCAGGCCAGACATTCTTGGGCAGATTCCACAAGTTCAGCAAAAAAGTCTACCAACAATTCAGCATCCCCGATTTCACCGACTTTGTCACGATGGAATTCTTGCTCTACGAGATTGATGATTGGGGTGCCCGGAACAGAGAAGCAAACAAGTTCTACGTCAGTTTCGGACTCAAACATCAATCTTTGAAGTATGAGTTCTCTCTGGGTACATTCGAAGATCAAGATGACATGTTCCATCCAGGAAACTCCAAGGTTGGTTACAAGAGCGGCATCAGATGGAAGAGACAGGCAATCACCTGTGCGACCAACTTGGGCTACAACGCGGAGCACAAGGATCAAATCCACAAGGTGACAATCAATATTCCCAAGTATCACTTCCCACGAGGAAAGCTTGGGGTTACTTTCTATGTTGCAATGGAGGAAGACAAGTCTCAACTGAGTGCTGGTGTTGACGAGTTGAGGATCATCGCCCAACCCAGGAAATGTGGCGAGACGAAGCGAAAGGACTGCCGCAGCGATGGACAGCAAATTGCTGCCAAGAAATTTTCCGAGTCACAGAAGAAGAAGAAGAAGAAGCAGAGGCACCACAACAACAAGAAGAAGAACAAGAAGAAGAAGGGACGCAGGAGCTTGGGCGATGCCGCTGATGACTACTTGGGTGACATTGATGAGAACTCGGCAGTTAATGCTGGTGTTGACGATGCCAGTGCTCCCGTCGAATGCCGCGTCGCCTTTGGCTACCACAGCCCCAAGAGTTCCGGCAGCTTCCAGGATATTCTTGGAATGACGAGTGGATTAACTTACAGGAATGAAGATATTAGCTGGGGATGGTCGAATGGTCCTCTGGAGGCGTCGAACTATGCCTACTCCATGGATCTTTACACGACAGGCAAGGGATCAGCCGGCGAGCCTGGTCTCTTGGTAGGAAAGATGACTGTTGAGTTTGATGGCGAAGAGGCGACTGTATCCATGGAAGCAGGCGACCACATGTGGTTGAAGGAAACGAATGCCTACGTCGGTCATGGCGTTGCCCCCGAGTTGGAAGATGGCGTTCAAACCGTTGACCCAGAACAGTATCCGATCTCGTACGATCGCATGGCGATGAGTAGGAGCTTCACAGTCGGCGACTTGGAAGACAAACCGATTTATATCATTGCACAGGCAACTGTTTGCGGAGTATTCGAAGCAGACCCAACGCGTCCTTCTGGAGTCCGTGGTTCCAATGACGAAACCAAGGAGTCATCCTGGTTCACCGGGCTCTTTTAAGTTGTCGGTATTTGCTGATCGGGACTCCCTTCGTATTTAAAAAATATATGTATTAGATGAGATTGTTTTAACCAAACTATGCATACCCCGTAGACCGGTACTGTCTTTTGCTTCTGTTGCCGTTCGGTACCGTTACCCGAGGATATGGCTCCCTTGCAGCGGTGTTGGAGCCGCAACGAGTGAGACATCGGCGAAATGCTTGTTGTGTGCTCAGTCTACTGCGTATTGCAGCCGTTCAGACGCAACCTGATCTTCAGAAAGGGCAGACAGGGAATTGACGATGGCACTGCAAGGCAAAGGCAGGTTCCTCGCTGGAACAATCCTGTCCTCAGTTGCCCGCCCACCATCCCGACGGGCAGGAGCGACCAGCCAGCATGCTTTGAGGTTTCTGGCCTAAAGAAAACGAAATGGTAAGGATGAATATTGAGGTCGCTCGAATGCAGACAGACACTTGGTTGACTGTTCCAGCCAGTCTGACGACGAAGTGGCTGAACCTGCATGCCCTTTGCGGTGCTGGGCTCTGCCAGTACAAGAAAACAGGTGTGTTGGTGTTGCCAACGGCAAAAAACGGGTCTTCAAGATCGAGTGACGAGTCAGAGTCGAGTCGCGAGTCGATTACGAAAGATCGAAAAGAGAAAACCAATGCGATTTTCTTTTTTGCTGTTTTTTGAATCTTCAATCCTCAATAACAAACTCCCTTCTAGTCTACTTGTACTTACAGTATTCTTTTCTCTGCCCTCTTTCTGTACACCATCCACTAACTAACTAACTCCGCAATCATCAGCACTATGTACTGCTCCAATTACGGCGTTCACACCGAGGGAGAGGATGCCCCCGTGTCATCGTCAGACTATCAGCGCCACACTACTACTACTACTAGTACAACCACCAACAGCAACCGCAACGACCACTTGTTTGACGATCCCGAAATGTCATTGGCCGAAATCGAACGACAGCGTCAACAATTGGCCCTCCATCAAAAACCCGACGGTTCCGTCTATTTGTTGGACGTCTACGAAACACCACAACAGTACGGTTATTGTTCTATACTGTTCAGTCTGGTCCAAACGCTGGTGCTTGTCATAATGATGTGGCAATGTGGGATTGCTCCTTTGACGGTCAATCCCATGGTGGGACCACCGCCCGATGTGTTGGATTATTGGGGAGCCAAAAATACGCCCAAAATTGTAGAGGATGGAGAAGGATGGCGGTTGATGACCCCCATGTTGTTGCACGCGGGAATCTTTCATTGGATGGGCAATATCAGCGTCCAACTCGAAACGGGACTCCAATTCGAATGCGAATGGGGAAGTGGTGTGTGGTGTATTGTGTATTTGACCAGTACCGTAGGTTCGAGTATTTTAAGTGTGATTATGATGCCCCAATCCTTGTCGGTGGGATCGTCGGGGGCCGTCATGGGATTGTTTGGGGCCAAACTCAGTGAAATTTTGATTCGATCCTGTGAACCCAACAAGACGCTCCAACAAAAAGTGGGACACGCTATGCGAAAACATCAATTCATCTTGGCGGGAGGGGGATGTATTTTGGTCATGGTATTTTCCTTTATTCCCTTTGTGGATTGGGCGGCCCATTTGGGGGGAATGGTGACGGGAATGACGGTGGGATTGATGGTATTTGCGTGTCACTGTCGATCGCATGTTGGAAAACTGGTGTGGTTTGTGCTGGGTTTGGGATTGACAGTGGTAGGCTTTGCCGTATCTCTGGATTACATGTACAACAGTGACAATTTGGAGATAGTAGAAGAACTACGAGATGTCTGTGGCTATTACCAACAATTTGATGAAGATTATGAATGCACCTGTACTCTGACCAACAATCAAGATGATGGGGGTTCGGGTGACTAGCTCTGCGCATTGGTTTGGTTGGGGTACCGTACAACAAAAGTGGTGCACGAGGAATCCATTCGGTCGAATTTTTGAATACCGGTACGTACGTCTGCTAAAGGAACTTGCGATGGATATTACATTTCCGTCGCATTCCATTATCGATCCCGACTGAGCTTAGATGGACGAACAAACCATTCCACTCAAGTTGTGTTTGTGCTTCCTCCAACACTCAGTGTTGAACCAATGACTCCACTCTGTAAGTAAAACTCTTTGGCTTCCCACTCCCACACTCCACACTGATTATAGCGAGCATCCCTCATAAGTGGTCTAACTATCATCCTGCACAACTCTTTCTTTGTCATACATAGGATCTCCTTCCTCCACTGTCAAAGCAAGCAGAGCAAGAACATCACACTACCACTCAGTGCTCTGCCTCACTCCCCATCCAGTCATGGTCTCCAGAATCCAAGTCATATCAGGTGTCATGGGCACTGCTTTTTTTCTTCCATTATGAGTTGCTCCACCATGACACTGGGAAGATACTTTACCTTTAGACAAAAGTACTGACTGTACCTGTTTGCCCTGTCAGTTTCATCTACCAACAAAACATGCTTGAGTTCATAGCTCTGCTTGGTCTTCCGAATCTCATTATAAGGGTAGCGACTGTTAACATCTAGCCAGTGTTAAAATCAGGACTAGCTAGCAGTGTGCAACATGGTGATATGGTAGCTTATTAGCTGTAGTTGACTGTGTGGGAATCCAATGACTCAACTTCCGTACCGAGACGAAAATGTGAGGCGACACCAAGAATGAGGCAGCCAACGTACAAGCACCTCCGCGAATAAGTCTTCCGAGCTTCCTGGTGACTGTGCAAGACCCACGAGAGTTAAATGGTGAAATTTGAATTTTACTGTCCGCTTTATAGTACAATTAGCAAAGTCTTGAGGGGAAGAAAAATCGTACAGTACATGTACTTTTTACCAGTAACTTTTAAAATTTTTCCATACCACAGAAGTGGTGTACTGTTGTCCGCCGATATGGCTCCCTGGCAGCAACAGAAGATCCGCAACGAGCTTGAAAATGTCGAAATGCTGGTTGTGTGCTCGGTCTGCTGTAATATGCATTCCTCTGATGCAACCTGCTCTTCAGAAAGGGCAGGCAGGGAATTGACGACGGCACTGCCTTTGCCGTGCTGTGGCTGGCACCTCGTGTGCTGTTGCATGAGTTAGTGGTACAATCCTGGCCCCTTCACCACCAACGGCCAGGAGCGACAAGCTAGCATGATGCTTCGAGGTTGCTTCATGGCCTATATGGCAGGTAAAGCATGAATGCTGATGTCTCTCGAATGCAGACAGACGCTCGGTTCCAGCCAGTCTGACGACGAAGTGGCTGAACCTGCCATTTGGGGTGCTGGGATGAAAGTGCAAGCAAGGCCAGCAGGTGTGTCGATGTTGCCACTGCAGCTGGGGCAGAAAAGCAAGTCACAAGGAGCTCCCTTTTTTAGTAGCCGTACGAAGAACACAAAAAGACCCAAGCGAAATTCGAGCCGTGCTCTGGTGCTAGCTAGCTAAGTAAATGAGAGACGGAATGAAGCCGTTTTCCTTCGTTGGAACTTGCTTGAAAGTGGAGACAGACAGATCATCGTTTCCATTTCCGAGCTGCGACGCAAATAATCAAAATCAAGGCAACAAAGGCATTTGCATCGATCGAAGGACCAGCCATCATTGGCAACACGTTGCTTCAAATCGATTGATTGATTCTTCAATCGAATGAGACAATCGAATCGATGGTCGGCCGAAACGAAACGGAAGACTGGCGACTCCCCAAGAATGTCCAGGTCATTGTTACTCGGAGAAGTGGATGTAACCTTTAATTCAGCTCTGGTTATCGATCAACAGAAAAGACCCTGGCTTTACCGACTGGCTAAAAGGGCTATGGAAGAGAAGCCAGAGTCCTATTTTTGTACTGAAGCATTGTTGTGGTAATTAAAGAGTGGTTGGTAAAAATTTGCTTTCATAATAATATAATATACTCCAGTATAATAGTTCAAAACGGTTTCACTAGACTAGGCTAGCTGTTTCACTAGCTAGCTAGATTTATTAATAGCTCACGTGGTTCTTTTGCTGATCAGGTGTTCTCTTCAGATGGGGTCTAGCCAGCAAGTGAATCGATGCTGTTCTAGAATGACCCTCGTAGACGGCCCACTAATTTCTCAGTAAAGATGACGGTCACTAACAGAAAGAGTCACTTCTTACGTAAATTCTACCAGTACCGAGTCGTTGCGACAACCAGCGACCCAACCCCAACCTTTTTGCCACACGCGCTTCTCTCACCACCCACCACCAGGAAAGATGAGGTAAAAGGCATTCTCATCGAACAGATCAAGCCATCGATCAGCGGGTGGCTCTCTGATGTCCCTCACTGTTTGAGAAAACAACGCTTTTTTTGTTTTTTATCAAGACGGTCCTTAGTTTGAGTGCAAGCCAGCTAGTAGATAGATAGACTCTACCAACGCTTCCACTACACAACAACGTATAAGAGTACATTATACAAGTAACCCAGAACCAGCAACAACCATGATTCCCTCGTCGTTGATGATTCGACCTTTGACGGTCATGACACTTGCCATGCTCATCATGGCGACTACAATGATGACCGTACATGCCGATGACCCCGGCCGTGACAGGGGAGTCTTTAACACTCCTGCCACTCCCGATGCTCCCAGTGGTGGCCCCAGCGACGTGCCCAGTGGGGCTCCTACTCAAGACGTGAGTGTGGCCCCCACTACTGGCATTAGCACTAGCAAACCTGACAACAACAATCCCCCTTCGATTTGTGTGGCGACGATGGATCATTCCGGCAAGTTGTGTCATCCCTTGATGAGCGAAGGAGACGAAGCAGTCGAAGTCGCTACTGTGTGTGTGGAAGTAACAACGGGTCCCGAGGACATTCCTCAGTTGTCCGTAACCTTTTCCGCCGCCGAGAACTACTTGTTGCTGACCAACAAGTTCTGGTTCGGGGAGGATGTGACCCATGTCCCTCGTCTCAGTGACGGTTCTACCGCTCTCGATGCCTTTGACTACTTCTTTTGTAACTCGACCGGTATTCCAGAATTCTCTTTTGACGCCGATTTCGACGACGAAGAGGATCGCGTATTGTGTCCTGCGGGAAAGACAGGAATGGAAGAATTCGCCATGATTGCCTATGTCGAAGTAGCCAAGATCAATCCAGAAACGGGAAGGCCTGTGTTGGGACACAAGGTCCGAGCCTTTGCCTATGAACATACGGTGGGATATGCCAGTACATGGATGGGATGGTTTGACTTTGAAATCGACTGCGATTGCGGCGACCCCGAAGACCGAAACATTCAACCAGAAACGTGTGCCGGATATCCAGAAATCTACCTTGACTCACCCGTGTCGCCCGCCTGTCATGCCATTGTGGCGGGAGGAGATATGCAGTCCATGAAGGCTGGTGATGTTTGTGTCGAGTTGGTCGACGAAAAACTCGAAGTTACCTTTGTGGCAGATGATAATTGGGCTCTGATTCGGTCACAGCTCTGGGTGGGACAGGATGAAGGCGAAGATGAAAACGCCTTGTCCCATATGCCACAGAAAAAGTCGGGTGCTCCCGATACCAAAAAGTTCAAGAATTTTGCCTGCGACTGGGAAGGAGAAAAGACAGTATCCTTCACCATCGATCTTAAGTATGAGTGCGACATTAATGCAGAGCTAGTCAAGTTCCATGTTGTTGCCCACTCCACAGTGGGAGAGGTGAAAGATGGAGAACTCATCCCTGGAACAGAACAAGACGTCTTTGCCTTTGAACATTCTGGTGATTCGGACAAGTGGTTTGGTTGGTTTGACTTTGAAGTCGGTTGCAGGTGTGTCAAGACGGACTCTCCCTCGTCAGTCCCGAGTGAATCGCCCAGTGTTATGCCAAGTAGTCTACCATCGGAGATCCCCAGTAGCTTGCCATCCGGCATGCCCAGTGAGGGACCAAGTGCCAATCCCAGTGAATCCCCCAGTTCACTCCCAAGTACCTCCCCAAGTATCGACCCCAGTGCAGCACCTAGTATCAGTCCAAGTGCCTCACCAAGTTCCAGCCCCAGTGAATCCCCAAGTGAATCACCCAGTGCTAGTCCAAGTGTCTCACCAAGCTCCAGCCCAAGCGAATCCCCCAGTGAGAGCCCAAGTTCCGCGCCCAGTGAGAGCCCAAGTTCTTCCCCAAGCACCACCCCAAGTACTTCTCCCAGTGCCAGCCCAAGTGCCACCCCTAGTACGTCACCCAGCAGCAGTCCTAGTGCATCGCCAAGTGCCTCTCCGAGTAGTACACCTAGTACATCTCCCAGCAGCAGCCCAAGTGAGACACCAAGTACACCCCAGCAGCCAAGTGCACCAGAAGTCCAAGTGAGAGCCCAAGTGAATCACCTAGTGAATCGCCAAGCTCTTCGCCAAGTGAGACCCCCAGTGTAAGCCCAAGTGAATCACCCAGTGAATCGCCAAGCTCCAGCCCTAGTGAATCACCCAGTTCGAGTCCTAGTTCCTCTCCAAGCAGCAGCCCAGTTCCAGTCCCAGTGAGTCTCCTAGTTCCAGCCCCAGTTCATCACCTAGTTCTCGGCCTAGTTCCAGCCCCAGTGAATCACCAGCAGCAGCCCAAGTGAATCACCTAGCAGCAGCCCCAGTGAATCTCCAAGCAGCAGTCCCAGCGCTTCTCCTAGCTCCAGCCCCAGTGAATCACCCAGTTCGAGTCCCAGCGAGTCTCCAAGTTCAAGTCCTAGCGAGTCTCCTAGTTCAAGTCCAAGTGAATCCCCAGCTCCAGCCCTAGTGAGACTCCAAGTACCAGTCCAAGTGAATCGCCTAGTGAGTCACCAAGCTCCAGCCCAAGTTCTTCACCCAGTTCAAGCCCAAGCTCCAGCCCAAGTTCGTCGCCCAGTTCAAGCCCAAGCTCCAGTCCAAGTAGTTCGCCCAGTGAATCGCCAAGCTCTAGTCCTAGTACATCGCCCAGTGAGAGCCCAATGCTGCACCAAGTACTCTCCTAGTGAGAGCCCAGTGCAACTCCAAGCGCTTCGCCCATGCCAGCCCTAGTGAATCACCCAGTTCTTCCCCAGCACCAGCCCCAGTGTGTCCCCAAGTGAACCCCCCAGTGAATCACCAAGTGAGTCACCGAGTGAAGCACCCAGTGAGACACCCAGTGAAAGCCCTTCTGCTAGCCCCTCCATCAGTCCATCTGATGTTCCGAGTACATCCCCAAGTGAGGCACCCACTGCCAGCCCACAGCCCAGTGGTGTTCCCAGTGAGTCCCCAACGGATAGTCAGGCCCCCAGTGAGTCACCAAGTTCAACACCTAGTACCAGCCCCAGTGAATCCCCCAGTGCCTCCCCAAGTGAATCACCAAGTACCAGCCCAAGCAGCAGTCCTAGTGCCTCACCTAGCTCAGCACCGAGTGCATCACCAAGTGAATCTCCCAGCACTTCACCCAGCACCTCACCTAGTTCCTCTCCAAGTTCTTCCCAAGTGAAGCCCCAGTTTTCACCAAGTGAGAGCCCCAGTGCCACACCCAGCACTTCACCCAGTGAGAGTCCGAGTGCAAGCCCAAGCGAGAGTCCATCAACCAGTCCCAGTACCAGCCCAAGTGAGAGTCCCAGTTCCTCTCCTAGTTCAAGCCCAAGTGCCAGTCCCAGTGAGAGTCCCAGTCTTCCAAGTGAATCACCAAGTTCTAGCCCATCGGAGTCACCTAGTGCTTCACCTAGTACAAGCCCTTCTGCTTCACCTAGTGAATCGCCCAGCTCCAGCCCCAGTGAGTTCCCAGTTCAACCCCAGTGAATCGCCAGCTCCAGCCCCAGTGAGTCACCAAGCTCCCAAGTGAGTCCCAAGCTCTAGTCCAAGTGAGTCTCCCAGTTCCAGTCCCAGTTCTTTGCCAAGTTCACTGCCCAGCTCTAGCCCCAGTGAGTCGCCAAGCTCCAGCCCAAGTGAGTCACCAAGCTCAAGCCCAAGTGATCCCAAGCTCAAGCCCAAGGATCACAAGCTCAGCCCAGTGAGTCACCCAGTTCCAGCCCCAGCGAGTCACCTAGTTCCAGCCCCAGCGAGTCACCTAGTTCCAGCCCCAGCGATCACCAAGCTCCAGCCCAAGCAATGCCAAGCTCTAGTCCTAGTGCTCACCAAGCAGCCCAAGCTCTAGCCCAGTGCTTACCAGTGAGTCACCAAGCTCTGGTCCTAGTGCTTCACCAAGTGAGAGCCCAAGTGCTACGCCAAGTGCTTCTCCTAGTGAGAGCCCCAGTGCCACCCCAAGCAGTTCGCCCAGTGCCAGCCCTAGTGAGTCTCCTAGTGAGCCTAGCACCTAGTGAGCCAAGTGAGCCCTAGTGAGGCACCAAGCGAAGCACCTAGTGAAGCACCAAGCGAGGCACCCAGTGCCAGCCCTTCTGCTAGCCCCTCCATCAGCCCATCTGATGTTCCGAGTACATCCCCAAGTGAGGCACCCACTGCCAGCCCACAGCCCAGTGGTGTCCCAGTGAGTCCCCAACGGATAGTCAGGCCCCCAGTGAGTCGCCAAGTTCAACTCCTAGTACCAGCCCCAGTGAATCCCCCAGTGCCTCCCCAAGTGAATCGCCAAGTACCAGCCCAAGCAGCAGTCCTAGTGCCTCACCTAGCTCAGCACCGAGTGCATCACCAAGTGAATCTCCCAGCACTTCACCCAGCACCTCACCTAGTTCCTCTCCAAGTTCTTCCCCAAGTGAGAGCCCCAGTTCTTCACCAAGTGAGAGCCCCAGTGCCACACCCAGCACTTCACCCAGTGAGAGTCCGAGTGCAAGCCCAAGCGAGAGTCCATCGACCAGTCCCAGTACCAGCCCAAGTGAGAGTCCCAGTTCCTCTCCTAGTTCAAGCCCAAGTGCCAGTCCCAGTGAGAGTCCCAGTTCTTCTCCAAGTGAATCACCAAGTTCTAGCCCATCGGAGTCACCTAGTGCTTCACCTAGTACAAGCCCTTCTGCTTCACCTAGTGAATCGCCCAGTTCAAGCCCCAGTGAATCGCCCAGCTCCAGCCCCAGTGAGTCCCCAAGCTCTAGTCCAAGCTCTAGTCCAAGCGAGTCTCCCAGTTCCAGTCCCAGTTCTTTGCCAAGTTCACTCCCCAGCTCTAGCCCCAGTGAGTCGCCAAGCTCCAGCCCAAGTGAGTCACCAAGCTCTAGTCCCAGTGAGTCACCAAGCTCTAGTCCCAGTGAGTCACCAAGCTCAAGTCCAAGTGAATCCCCAAGCTCTAGCCCCAGTGAGACTCCGAGTACCAGTCCAAGTGAATCACCTAGTGAGTCGCCAAGCACTAGTCCAAGTGCTTCTCCCAGTGCGAGCCCAAGCTCTAGCCCCAGTGAGTCGCCCAGTGAATCGCCAAGCTCTACACCTAGTACTTCGCCCAGTGCGAGCCCAAGTGCCACACCAAGTACTTCTCCTAGTGGAAGCCCCAGTGCAACTCCAAGCACTTCACCCAGTGCCAGCCCTAGTGAATCACCCAGTTCTTCACCTAGCACCAGCCCCAGTGTATCCCCAAGTGAAGCACCAAGTGAGTCACCCAGTGAGACACCGAGTGAAGCACCCAGTGAGGCACCCAGTGAAAGCCCTTCTGCTAGCCCCTCCATCAGTCCATCTGATGTTCCGAGTACATCCCCAAGTGAGGCACCCACTGCCAGCCCACAGCCCAGTGGTGTTCCAAGTGAATCCCCAACGGATAGTCAGGCCCCCAGTGAGTCGCCAAGTTCAACTCCTAGTACCAGCCCCAGTGAATCCCCCAGTGCCTCCCCAAGTGAATCGCCAAGTACCAGCCCAAGCAGCAGTCCTAGTGCC